CTCATCAAATAACTTTGTCTGTTTGCAGTTAGATGCTGGAGAACAGTGTGTTTTGGCTAAAAGCAGCTGCAGCAGCACCACCAGAGTACACTGATAAGATATACGATTACATTCGATGTACCTCGGAGGTGAGAAGTTAGACGCTGAAATTACACCATGTTCACCCTTCATGCACAAAGAGGGGGAGTAAAGTCACAGCGATTTGGTTTTTTACTTGCGCACTGACAACAAACGCTCATTAACAGTCACATAATTCACTTAACTGAAGAAAGAGAAGAGTGTTTAAAGTGTGAAAGGCATTTTGTATAAAATTTTACACATTTTCTAAAAAAGAAACTCCTGTCAGTAGAGATATTTGGGGCAATTATGCAAAGCACGCAAGTAAAGTTTGTGAAACTTTACCAGAGTTACTAACTTTATATTCTCTTTGTTTTGTTGGCCCAGTCTGAGATTTCCCAGTTTCCATCAAATGCAGCATAAAAACAGTAAGTTTGCAGACTGTAAAACTAAAACAATGAGGGAAAAATGCTCCATAGAGATGAGGAGAAGCTGTCAAACACATGCAGTCGTGTGTTCTGTTGTTATTATAATGCTGATGATAGATTAGATTTAAAGTTTAAGATGGGTTTAATCTGCTTCACTGATTAATCACGTAATTGTAAAAGACACACAAAACATCCAGGTAACAGAGAAAAGGTGGCGCTCGGAGCAGCTAGAAGAGCAGGTATAAACAAAAGTGACACTGCAGTGATTTGTCAGTCAATGCGCAGAGAGTTAATGCTGCACCACAGACTTGATTATCAGTTCGACAAATTCCAAGTCAATACATGTGACCTTGGAGAGAACGCCCCTTTCAAGAGGTTTAGCTGTGAGCAAACTTTTGATGAACACAAGACGAGGCGACGCACAATGCAAGCTGCGCGCTTGATGCTGTGCGATCAATTAAGACACACAGCTGTTCATTTTCCCAGCTGTTTGTGTCATTTCACTGCCTCAGACAATAGCTGCTGTTTGGATGTGATGCATTACTTTTGCATTCATTCTGAGCCTCTCATCAGTTACTGGCGACTAAATCATCATCTGGTGTGTTAACAGGTGAAGAGGAAGAACTTTTAGAGATACCTGCGCTGGGATTCAACCACAGCAAATGCATCAAGTAAAGGAAATTATATATAGGTTCTATCTTTTTCTAAGCGAATCATGCTACAGTGCTGGTGTAGGTTCTGGGTCCAGCAGGGAAGCGCACTGACATTTTGAGGGGATCTAACCTGTAAAAAGGTTACCCCTCAGTTGGAATGGTGTAAAACAAAAAGTGTAGATTTCAAGGGCAAATGCAGAAGATACATCCCCCTCAATATTCACATCACTTGCATTAATCTGCTCCAATAAAACCAAACATGAAGCAGAGAGCTGCTACATCATTATTCATAGACACAACACAATAGAAATGCATGCAGAGAAGGCACAAAAAAAGTCACTAAGCTGCAGGAAGTTAAGTCAAATGTTGAAGCTGTAAATTGTTCGAAATTGTAGACTTTAATGACATTTTAAAAATGGTGCACTGTCAGAGGAAGTCGACACCTTATTGCAGATAGAGCTACATTTAAATCAAATCAGACAGCATTAGGAGTCTTGAGCGTAACGCTGCCATCTATTCATTTATTTCTTAAAGACGTCTTCCTGTGATCACATTGTTTCAACACAGCACAATAGTCCTCCGTTTATTTACTTGCTCCAGACAGCAGGCTGAACTTTGGGAAGAAAAAAAAAACAATTCTTAAGGCAAAAAAAAGGCCACAGTATTCAAGCTCCAAGCATGAATTCTAGATGAAAATTATAATGCAGATTTAGAAAATTTGGATATTTAATATGCTTCACTTCCACAGTTTTTCTCTCTTTCTTTTTACTTTTATAGAAACTTTCTCACACTCACAGCCTCGTCTCTGCCTGTCTGCCGTGTCTCCGGTTGAGCTTCATCTTAAACTAAATTATCTGAATCAAGAACATCTTGTCCACAGCGTTTTCCATTTTAAATCGCTCGGGACTTGTAGAATTGCTTTTTAAAATAATTTCAATTCTGAATGTCGGACTGAAAAAAAAATCAACTTTCATCTCTTACTGCAAACGTACAAATTAAAAAAATACACCAAGACAACTGGGCACGTTGGTGTGGTCTTTTGAATTCTCATGGATGTGATGTTGAAAATAGCTTGGCTCAGTGATTCCCGGTGAAGCCAAATAAATTAAACTGGAGCAGGACACATCCAGTTCTGTGTGCAAAAAAAAAAAAATGTACTAAAGCACAGAGCAAATTCAACATATCAGATTTGATCATCATATTTTGCGACCGTGCTATCCGACATTCCACAATAGTGCTAAGAAGTATTTTACTCAGTCCCCAGGCTCTGAAATGAAGCTTTTAGGCTTCGACCCCTAAAGAAAAATGTTAACAGATGGAACTCATTCACAATACGATGCACAGATATTTCATATTTATAATGCTTCACCTGCTGGTTGCCTGAATCCACCTCCGCAAAGCCCCTCAGCTTCTTTCATGCCAGCTAGCTAGCAAAGACTGCTTAACAAAATATATATTGCATGAAATAAATAATGTTGCAAAAAAAGCCAATAATAAAACTCTGCCGGCTTTTTGCTACCTGAACCAGCTCACTTCCTACAAACACACATCCTCCCTGCAGCGCTCCACGCAGCCACAACAGCACAAATAAAACATTTCTTTCCCTCCAGAGGCGCAGCTCAGCCAAAGACGGCAAATGGACAACTTTAGCCCGGCGCCGTGCGCGTCATTGGGCTTGAGTTCATCACTCCTACCTTGACGAACTCGCTAGATGAAGATGGATATGTTTTCAGCTGGATTTATCGATCCCCCACGCTTTCGTGTCATCACTTCCTGGTTTCTCTCTGACATGTGACCAAGTAAGCCAATCAGGAGTTAGGAGGGGCAACAGGTACGAAATGTGGAAAAACAACACAGGTGGGCTTAAATTTGTCACCGATGTCGCATAAAACAGACGCCATTTTTCTGCTAAATGACGACTTTAACTTTTGATGACTGGCAATTATATTTTATGATAATATTTCTGTGCCTTTACTTGAGTCAGATTTATAATGTAGGACTTTTACTTGCAATATTCTTGTCCTGCTGCCCACTTCTGTAATTTGGAGAATTATTTCCAATCACCTTCATGTGCAAATCCTGAACTCTTTTCACAGATTTGATCACCTGATTGTCTGCTCTTGTGTCCTACCTCGTTCTATAATGTTACACCAGCCATCCATCACTGCCTGAGCACAATGTCACCGTTACCAGAACGTTGTCAATAAAAACTCAAGTTATACAAAAAAAATAAAAAATCCCTGACAAAACAAATATAAAAATAGAATTCTCCTATGAATTTTACATGAGCTGGGATTATTTTAGTCTCAGTATCCTCAGCTGTTTTTGCTGGTTTTTGAGCGTCTCATAAAACTCGCTGTAATCCTCAAAGTTTAGAAAAACAGAATCAGCTTTAGATGAAAGCTGAGGGGATGAGCCTTGTCGGTGGACGGCCTTTTAAAAAGTGCAGTGGGACATACCTGTGCAGGAGGAAAGAAAAAAAAAAGAGCAGCGACAGTGGCAGGAGTGTAACAGGAGGGGAACCAACCTCACCAGGGCTCCAGAGCCTAGATTCATTGCTTTAGTAGCAATGCATTTTTGATGTACCTCCCCCCCTTCCCTCGACTCCTCTTTTTTTTTTTTTTTTCCTGCTCCAACTTCTCTTGTGCGACCCTGACGGAATAACAGCGCCCCCAGCAAGCGTCCATATAGCTTAAATTTACCCTGTGACGTTTGCAATGTGTAGGTGTTTGTGTGTGTGTGATGGAGTGTGTGTTTGTGAGGAAGGAAGGCAGCACAGTGAGTGAGACGAGAAAGAAAGACAGAAAAGGAGAAGGAGACATCGAGAAAGGGAGAAAATGTTCCCCCTTGCCTGTTAAATATTTGAGAAGCCTTCTGTGGAACAGTGATGCAGTCAGAGACGGGCCTGTTAGCTCTCTCTCCCTGTATGTATGTGTGTGTTTGGTTGTTGCAGAGAGCGAGAGAGAGAGAGTTTGGACTAATTCAGCCGTGAGCGAGTGAGAGGGAGCACTTTCACTGTTTATTTATCTACCTGGGAGAAAGAGGGAAGAGGAGGAGGAGGAGGAGGAGAAGAAGAGGAGGAAGGGTTGAAGAGGGGGAAAGAAAGAGAGAGAGAGAGAGGCTGGCCAGGTTGTCACAAACCATTAGACAGACGGACCTGGTGTGCTCTGCCCCATGTCAATGAGAAGAGAGGCCCGGCTAAAGACAAGCCGTGTTTGTGTGTTTTTGTGAGTCTTAATGCAGCCTTGTGTGTGTGTTTATTTATGCATGTGTTTTGGATTTTTTTTTTTTTTTTGCACAAGCGCTGGAATTGACAGAGAAATAATGTGGGATTGTGTCGACTGGCACAAGACCCTGAAATTAGCTGAGAGAAAGGTGAAAGCAGTGTGTGTGTGTGTGTGTGTGTGTGTGTGTGTGTGTGTGTGTGTGTGTGTGTGTGTGTGTGTGTGTGAGAGAGAGAGAGAGAGAGAGAAAGGAGTAAATCTCTAGACACTGATGAGAAGAGGAGGCAGGATGCCCTTATTGTTTAAGACAAAAGAAGCTCCTCATCCCACCCAATAAAATATCCAGCAGTGTGCATGCACAGGCGCACACACACTTCTTCCATTTGTGTGTGTGTGCATGTGTGTGTTGCTTGCTCATTGCAAAAACATTAATATTGCAGTTTTCAGCCAAAACACTCCTGAAACATTAATACAGCCTGATGTGATCAGACGTGAAAAACAGATCTGTGCACTTCCTTCAACATTTCAATATTCAGCTGCATCCTGCTGTTGTTTTCTGACTATTTTGAGAGACTAGATAAACAATGTTTCATACACACATTGACATTTTCAGGCCCCGGACTCCCACTAAAACTCACTTGGGGTTGGAGCTGTTCCAGTAAACAGCGTGTCTGTCAAATATGATCTTCTCCTCTGCCCACACGGACACCCAGGACAGGATGGTCAGCACCACCACCTCCATCACACACCTCTGCCCGAGCTGGCACAACATCATAGACATCCAGGGGAGGGGAGAAGAGTCTTTCTTTCTAACTGTGATCAGGCTTTCAGTGCGCCGCCGCCGCCGCTGCTGCTGCTGCTGCAGAAATCCTCTCTAGATCATCAATGTCCGTCTGCGCGTCTTTGGACAAATCGTGTCGGCGGTTCATGGATCGTTAACTGCGCTCGATGCTCGAAGTTCCGATAACCCTCCGGAGGTGTTTCAAGTCATGCTGGAGGTTTGAAAATCACTCTCAAACTTCGTCAGTCGCGGGGGGAAAAAAATTAAAAAATCACATGTTATTTACAAACACGTCGTCGGCGGGATGCTGCCGGTGCGTCTCCTCTGCAAGGTCCGAAACTTTTCTCCCATTACGCGCCGCCACCTGGATTAAATCCCCGTCTTTCTCTCCAGGCAAAAAAGAAATAAATCACACTCCAGATTCACCCGAGGTTTGTAATTCTATCTGCGGTGCGGTTGCTCATCTGCAGACACGAGACAACGTCAAAACCGGCCGTCATATTTGTTTCCCCCAGATTTGCACCCAGCCGGGCTTTGTTCCGCTCCTTCCTCAGCGCAAATCTCCTCCAGAGAAAAAAAAAGAAAAGAAAAAAAAATGCGTCCACTTGACCTTTTTTTCCTCTTATTGCAGTTCAATGAAAATACATCCCACACAGCACAACGCGCTCCTTTTCGTTATTTTTATGCTCAAAGTTGACGCGCAATAACAACTGCGAGACGGGAGCATCCTCCTCCTGCTCCTCACGGCGGCCACAAGCTCTTTACAGCATCTCAACTTGGTGATCCCTCCGCTGCCACTGGGCTCCGATCCAATGTGACTCCTGGTTTCGCTTGTGCGCCTTCACTTTTTTTTTTTCCTCTCCCCCCCTCTCTCTCTCCTCTCCTGTGCGTCGTCAACGCGCGTCCGGCCACAAGGAGCCGCCGTCGATGATCGCAGCTTGAATCCCCAACATTGCTCCCAACGTGCAACCTGCACCTATGGCGGCAACATCACTCACCGGCACCCCTGATTCGGTGTAAGTAAACCACCCCCCCACCCCCACCCAACCTTCTCTCCAATCTCGCTCTCTCTCTCTCTTTCTGCGCGGGCGGGGTGTGTAAGCCGTGCCGTGCCGCGCTCCCTCTGGGGACTCGGGGCTGGCTGACTCACTGCGCCCTGCCGAACCGGTGATGTATGGAGGAAAAGTCTCTTAAACACCCAATTCGAGCGAGTTAACTGACTTTTTTAAGTGTGAGATTTTACGCAATTGACACACTGTGGTGCGCCAGAGAGGAGGAAATCGCAGCCTGAACTCTTTGCGCTTTGTTCCATCCGCCATCTGTTTGACTGAAGGCTGTTTATTCTCATCGCATCTGGGCATGTAAAGCGCCCGTGAAAGTTCACTATCTGTTTGAAAGCTGCGGCCCTGATGGATGGGGGCTCGGGGAGAGAGAGAGGAAAAGAGGGCGTCTGATGGATCGCTGGAACAGTGGAGTCATTTTCCATCAGTGTCCATTAGGCCCAAATGGCAAGCGGAGGCAGCACCGAGTCTAAAACCCTGTGAGCCATAAACCTCCAGATAGCTGTGTGTGTCTGACAGAGCGCTGCCACCCCTGCTGCCTCTGGCCTCCAATGCACAAAACATATCCATCTTAGGTGTTTTTCCTTTTTTTTCTCCCTCTAGTCTGGGGGGCCTCAGCAGAAGGAGGACCCTTTTGCTTTATGTGTCGATATCTTGTGCAGAATGAGCTCCAGTTGAGGATCAATCCACTCTCCACCAGATGAGAATTGATTCAAGGGAGAGAAAAAATTTGCATTCAAAATGAGAAGAAACAGGATTTAGAAGTAAAAGGCGTTTCTGCGACTATTTCAGGGTCCCTTACAAAAACAAAAGACACCCAAATGGCTCGTCCCCTCCAACCTAATAGGCCGTGTTATCATCTTAAACCCAACCGTTTCTTCAGCTCCATCTTTCACATCTTACTGTGCCTCTGGTTGGATCCTTTATGCAAAGTGGCCTACTTTTTTTTTTTTTTTTGCTCTGCCCCTGCTCTGCCTGCAAAGTAATGCCTATAATTTTGGCTGTTGCGAATTCAGACAGGGAGAGAACCCATACACCCCCCATAACCCAAATACAGCTGCATGTTGTCCGCCTCTGTGGATGAATTATTCAACATCTGTCTGAGGCGTGCATATGTAAACAGGTGGATAGTCTCCTGATGGCTTTTTTAAGGAGAGCCACTATAGAGCGAAGACATCCTTCACCCTCAGACTTCTTCTCCCCCCCTCTGCTGTGTCACTCTGAAAGTGAGTCTAAAGCTCATGTAAGCCTGCGCAGACTAAACAGCGTTGGGAGGATTCGGATATGAAGGCCTCTTAAGTGATCCTAAATCTAAAAGAATGTGGGCCAGAGAGTCAGCGTATGGGATGCAGGTCTCCTTAAAAGGGTGTTAAATCCCACAATTTATAGCCGGCTGAGTCTGTGATTGCGCTGCAGTTTAATTCTCATATGAATACCATAAATTATACACGTGAATAATGTGGCAGACTAGAAACAGATGAATGTGCGAGGTGTTGACTCACAAAGCCGACTTTCACATCCAGCCAACTTTCAAGTCGCACACATGAGACGTTCAGATTTTTTCCCTCTCAGGGATTGAATTTGTCACAAATTATATACAGAACAGCGTCTTGAACCATTCGTCTCTCCAGTGATTAACCACCAGGTTTGTATTTGTGTGTGGCCTTGGTGTTTGCTAGTATTTGCTTGATTAGAGGCCGCAGGACTAATGTAAATAAATGTTGCCAGATGTGGTTGGATTACTCCCCCCCACATGGTTCCACTTAGTCCTTGTCCGCGCTGGTGCCGGACAAAGCCAAGAACATCCCAAGGGTCTGAATTCAGCAAACAAAACAGCGAGGAGATTGAGTCCGGTTACACGAATGACACATTGAACAAGTTAAAAGTGCAAACGCTGTAACGTTTTCCGATGTTTTGGACAGCCTCGGGTACATGTGGCTGCTTCCAAGGTGTCGAGTGACTTGTGCATCAGAGCGAGTTTGGAAAATATTTGCCTTTTTCTGCTGCAGCGCTTGCCAATTTCTTAAATACGCCCTGACAGATTAAAATTACATTAAAGCACCATATTTTGTGAGCCAGTAAGTTGAATTTGAGAACCTAAAAACATCACAAATCTATGTTTGGATCATCTTACTTTGAGTTAGCCTTCCACCCAATTATGCAATCTCTTTGCATTTCAATATATTCCAAAGAGGATTCAGTGCAGACTGCTCTCTGCCCTAAATTACTCTTGGTGCAGAGTGAAATAGTACGATGCTGCAAAGTAAACAACGGTCTGAGGTATCAAAGCGGCATCAAAGCATCAAGTTCCTGCCATGGAGTTCCCTGACTGGCAGGGATTCACTGAACACTAGCAAAGACAGTTTTTTTTTAAAGAAAGAAAGAAAGCTACCTGAACATGAAATGTCAAGAGACTGGTTGGAATTCTTGGCAAACGTGTTACAAAGACATAAAGGTTGTAGCACCTTCTTTTAGCATCCTAAAAACATATTTCTTAACATTTCCATCAACGGTATCTTGGGATTAGTATCTCTTCTGCACTACGACCTTCAAGACTCGCTTTCCTATGCAAAGTAATTACACAAGGAAAGAACCAGAGCTGTGGAATTTAAACCCAGCTGGAGCTTGCTATATTTAAGATCACACTCCACGAGCTACTGGATTTATACAACAAAATCCAGCTCCTCTCAGCGACAAATACAGACACCACTGGGCTCCATTCTCCTTTCTCTCTCATTTGTCCCCCTCTCGAAAGGGAAAGAAGATCTGAGGTTAATCCTCTCCACCGCTCTGTAAGGAAGTCGAAGAAGAAAAAACTGGTATAATGCCAGAAAGCCCAGGGAAGCACTTGAGATTAAGCCACTAACTATTGACATTGTGTGAGTGGCAGGTAAAGTCACCTCTGCTCAGCAACCTTTGATCGCCACCAGAGAGCAAGACCTCCCCCTAGTGGCTGAATGGGTGTACGGCCGGAGTTTGTCGCTGGGTTTTTGTTTCACCTCCAACTCCAGCATCCCAGAGGAAATCTCTGATAAACATGGATGTCAGATATGCCTGATACGCCGTTCTTGTGTTTTATCTTAATTATTAATCTTGAGATACAGCGGCTCGGCTGCCACAGCAATGAGGCTGCTCTCTGAAGAGTTAAGACAGACCTGCTAAACTGGAAAGGTCAAAGCAGAGCACGGGAGGATTATTCAGAATCATAGAGAATAGCGAGTATCCAGCGCTGCATATCAAATTAACTCCACCCTGCCACGATCATGACAGCCGTCTCATCGAGGGATTGGAACGGGATCGAGCTGAGCCCAGATGAGCAGTCAGTCAGGTTTTCAGATGGGATGAGTGCGAAGTTGGAAATAACAGTAAAAGATTAAAAAACAAAAACCCACCAGTAGTAAACAGCATGGGAAATGTAGAAAATGTTACAAGATGTTAACCAGTACAGAGCAGCAGTACCACAGGAAAGAGAGGAAGAGACAGAAAACAAATGAGGCCAGATGAAAGAAGGAACAAACTAAAGATTTATTGAAGGCAGCAGAAGATGCAAGAGACAAGATCAAGAATGGCAAAAGGGGGGGGAGTGGGGCACATACAGAGACACTTCTGTGTTCAGATAGGTTTAATGTCTTTGTGTTACAAAAGGTTTTTTATTTCTTTTTCTTTCAGTTTTACAGCTCAGGGGAGCTTAATAGGTCTGTATTGTTTTATCAAAATATACATGTTTTGAACGTAAAGTGGATATAAACCAAATGATTTTGTGGTACAAAAACATGAATATATACAACCATTAACCCCGCTTCATACAATAACCCCACCCCGCCCCCATATAAAAAGGAGAGAAAAAATAAAAGCTTTTAACAAAATTGAAAGGCATATAATCTTCTACACTGTCAACATCACAGCTAGGACTGTGGTTCAATTAAGTATCCATTCTAAAGCGACCTCTACCAAAGTAGGCTCTTTGTAAAGTCAATCAAACAAAAAGGGGCACAATATACAGTATATGTTGGTACCCAAAAGACATCTTAACTTAATTTGACTGTTGTCCAAGGCATCTGAGGAACAGACAAAGGAACTGAAGCCTTGTGTTCTTGTAGAATAGCAGGAACGTGGGAAGAAAAGAAAAAAAAACCTTGAAGAAATCACAACACTACAAAACAGCAGGGATAGAACATACTTTGGTCCTTAACAGCAATAACCGTCCGCAGCTACATGAAGCTTCGTTAAATCATGCATAAGAATCTTTTACAAAAATAGAAGACAGAGCGCATCTGTATCTGGTCCAAGACTACAGTGGTCGAGGCTGTGGAAACTGGTGCTTGAGGCACGCAGGAATGTGACGACGTATAAGACTTCAGCGTGATGGTGCCAACTTGGACCTATCATTGAGGAAAAGTGCACTAACATAACCTGAATGTGGCAGAAGTGCACACAGACAGGAGAAAGGTGAGGG